GATTTGAACAGCCAAACTGCAGAACTGCAGTCAGCTGAAGTAGCATGTAGTGCTGCATTTAACCACTGCGCCACCTCGGCTCTTTTCCTTTTTCCTTGAAGATGTTTTGCTTCTCATCCAAGAAGCTTCCTTGAAGAAGCGTTTTCAAATAAAAACAAAGTCCAGCTGTTTTTTGAAGAAGCACCTTTGGGACCTAAATACCTATGCATAGTAGCTATGATTGATTTTAAAAAATCCATATTACTCACTGAAGCAATACTTATCTTTAGACAATTAGAAATCAATGACACATCATCAAAAGAACTCTTAAATGCCTCTTCTAACATGACTTAAGTCTCAAAGTATTATTCCAGAAAAGATTTTTTTACTATTTCTTTTAATAAATGAAAAAACACACACACACACACACACACACACGAGATATAAAGCTGACCTTCTTTTCAACAGCAAGTTCATAAACAACTTCTTTCTCTTCATCTCTCAATATGGGAACCTTTGATGTATTACCAACAAGAACACGGCTACGAATAACAGGCAACAGGTCAAAACAAGCTTCGGAAACTTTTTCCAATGCTACAGTCACAGCCGACGTATCAGGATCCTCCGTTTTCTCCATTTCCGAAAGTGATTTTGAATTACAGTCATCTGTTGACTTAGTAGAATTCCCATTGTCCAGAGAGTCACCGTCAGGAATGCACTGTCGGTCACCATCGGAGCGCTCTTCTGAGCAGGGGTTCAGTGTTGATGATCTGCTGCCCTCTAAACATGGTCTTTTGACGTTCTTTGGCATAGTCACAGATGGCAATTTCCTTTTCCCAGTCTCATTCACATTGGAGAGCAGCTTCTCTGGATCAGATTTAAATCTGATCCTTGTTTTCACAAAAGCAGTCGATGGGGAAGCAATGGCTTTAAAGCCACTAATTTGATGGCTACCCTTTCCATCTAGAGAAGACGACCTATTAAACTGAATGTTACCTTTCAGGATATTGAGTGTTCTTGCCCGAGCAGATAATTCTGGATACATACTGTCCAAAATTTTCACAGAGTTTTCCTGAGGCGCAGGTGGAACAGAATTGCAAGGTGTAGATGGAGGCAGTCTACCTGGAACAGGAAGGGCATGTTTAGGAGTGCTGGAACAAAACTGAAGAGGCGACGATAAAATTCTCTGACCTACTGACATTTCAGAGGGTGATAAAGTGGAAGATGATGATGATGATGAAGAGGACTTGTATTTTGAGATCTGTGGCAGTGCTGACGTTAGAGGAGGAACTGGGGTTTTATGCAAAGGAGAAATCAGTTCATCAAGTGGAGATGGTAAGGAAGATTGGCTTGAAATTGATGCTACAGGGGAACTGCGCTGAACAGTTCTTGGAGGGGTAGCTAGCAAAGGTGGAAGTAACGGAGGTAATGGTGGGCCCATCTCTTGCATAATTTTTGTTAAAGTTTTGGGATAATACATAGTTCGTGTAGAAGTATCTACATTGGCTAGAATGGTTTCAGCTGGTAGGGCAGACTGGTTTTTCTTTTTTCTCTTACAGATAGGTACGGTCTGGAGATGGGTATCATCACTATCGTTAATCTCTTCCTGTGCTTTAATTATGACGAGGTCTGAAGAGTTGAATGTTTGGTCTACTCTATTCTTTGCAGAAGGAACCGGCGGTGACAATTTTTCTGATAGCACTTTTTGTAGTTTATTATTAGAATTGGAAGACCCAGAGATGGGGGATATGGATGTCCTGTGGGTCTTAGATGCAGTGCTTCCTTTATCATTATTTATATCCTGAGCCTTGTTATGGGACGTATCACTGCCATCATCAATGTGACAAGCCATGATGTAACTGTGGTCTGTATCTGATCTGGATTCCGAAGTGGAAACACTCCTTTTTAATTCCATGTTGGATTTTTCTACAGGTAAGTCAGAATGAACTTCCCTATCGACAGGGTGTTTTGTATGTAGTACAGCTGTATTATCATTAGCATCTGGATCATTCATAGAGGACTTCCCAGAGATAGTTTTCTTGTTAGATAACTCCTGACTTGGCAATAAAGTAATTACTGAAGCATTTTCTTCTAACTTTTCTATTGCAGAAGAGGGCTCTGTTTTTAAGGTTGTATTCTCATTAGCGCAGGGCCATTCTGCTGCATACGAATGTTCCCATGTCTTTTCAACCCCTTCATTTACAGACGAGTCAGTGTAACCTACTTTAGCTTCCTTATCTTTTGAGCATTCCTCTTTCGTGACCACAGGGAACACCTCATGTCTGGCACCATCTGAAGAAGTCGTACTGGGGGGAAGACTAGCTTCACTATTTTTGACTGGACAAGATATATCACTGGACACTGCACATCCTGGGTGTATTTTTGCGCAATTCACTTTTCTTATTGGGTAAAATTCTTCTTCTGATGAATCTGTGACAGAGGACTTCCCCACTGAAACAGAATTTTCTAACATACTCACTTCATCTATTCCTCTAGACCTTATTTCAGTACTTGATACAGCATCTGCGTCCCTAGCTGTTTTTTCATTGATATTTTTAATAGTATCATTTCTTGACCGCGCGTCCCTGGGAATAAGAAGTTCCCCATGATTCAGCAGCAATTTGTTTTCTGTATTAGTATCTATGCTCTTAATATTGTTTGGACAATATCCATCAGAAGACAGCATTTCAGCGTTGTCTTTACTGCAACTTTTAAGAGTAACGGATGCCTGGGGCTTGTTGAAAGTGCCATCATTTTTATCTTGTCCAAAATCAATTTTATCTTTCTTATTACTAGGATTGTGGTAATCCCACTTTATATCTCTCTGAGTCAACATCTTATCTCCCTCCGATTCAACAGTTTCTGATTTTTTATTCTTCCAATTTTCCTTAGAATGATGTGGATCAGTGTGATCAGCATTTTCCTTGTCAGGAGAGGGAAAAGCTACATCCATAGATTCTATATTTGCCTCAGAATCACCTGTCATAACAGACAAGGCTGATTCAATTGCTCCATTTTTGCTCTGTGACGCATTCTGCATCGGTTGAACTGTATTATTGCTCATGTTCTGTGCTGAAGCTGCTTCATTTGAAGCGGAACAATAATTCAGGCCTTTTTCTTCCGTGGCATACTTTTTTGTATCAGGTAGTTCATTTGTGATCATTGAGCTATTTTTTTCAAACTGTGAATCCCCATGCATCGAACTACGTGAATCTTTTTCATTTAATCCTACTTTAAGGGATTGTATAGTTCCCGCTTCAGTGAGTTTTCTTGATTCATAATTTATCTCCATAAGCCTCTCTCTTAGCGGATGTAAGTCTTCCGTGTAACTGTTTAAACTACTCCCAATGCTTTCTACTTTGGACATGTTCTTGGGTGTAATGTTTGCATTTTCAACTTGTCCCACTTGAAAAGCATTTTCAGTGGCATTGTGTACTTCAAGGGGTACTTGACTTGGTTCAGTGAATCCCTCAGATTTTAACAAAGAGTCTTCAGCAGTAGATGCCTCGGTTGGTAACTTGTTGGTACTGCTTTTGCAAATTAATTCCTCTTGTGTTGATTTAATATATATATTTTCATCAAGTAACCGTTCTAATTGTAGATGTTTTTCCTTTGGTGTATCTTCTAACTTTGTCTCCTCACTAGCTCCATCAGACAGGTTTTTTCTGGACCTATAATTCATGGCTTCAATTATTTCGCCGCCATGATATGATTGCTTCAAACCCCTAGTTAATGTTCCAATATATGTTGCAACATCAGCTTGCTCATTCTTTCCATTTACCTTGCTCCCATTTTGCTGGTTGCCCATCTCCACTACAGAATGAGGTTTGTTAGATGCTTCCAAAGAATTAAAGTTCTTTTCAATAGATTCCGTACACGTTATGCTGGCACCTGGTTGCTCAACTCTTTCACTAAGATTTGTTTCAGGGAGGAATTCACAATTACTGACATTCTTTTCCCCCTCTATTAATGGTTCGTTATTTCTTTCAGCTGCTGCATTTTGTCCTTTTACTGTTAAATGTTCAATTTGCTTTTCACAAAGTAGGCTTGCTTTTCCCGAGTAAGATTCTGTCTGGAGGTCCTCAAATACACTCTCCATCACTCTTCCTTCTTTATCATTGGAAGGATCCTTCACATTTTTAGAAGTCACTGGTGGGTTTTCAGCAGTTGAAATAGGTTCTTTGGTTTGCTGTTCTTCACTGCCCTGGGATCCTTGAGCGCAATCATCTTTTGTTTCAATTAACCTTTTCTTTTCCTCCTTTTGAACGAAATCATTAGTCTCTTCCAGCACATGCCCAATTTCTGTTTTGCTAATCATTTTTTCACTGAGTTTCTCTGTACTGGGAGATATTGTTTCAGCGGCTGTGTGCATTTGTTCAAAGTCAGATTCTTTATTTAGGTGTTTTTCTTCAGTCTCTGATTTAGTATTGTTCTCATGAAGGTACTCTGATGTTCTGAGCATGGAGTCAGATGACAGCATCGATTCTTCATTTTCTAATTTTTGGGATCTTTCATGCGATTCCTGTAGATGAGTCTTTACACTGCTGTTTTTTAAAACTTGTGAGCAAAATTCTGTCAGATGCAAAGTTTCAGATGCTGGTTTCTCCTCATCATATTCTTCTATAATATTTTCAAGTGTTTGCGCATTCTGCTCCATTTCATCATCACTGGAGTCTGTGATCTCTCCAAATAAAGTGTCCTTAAAAGAGAAAAAAATGTACATATTAATCTACTAATCAATAATGCATATAGCTGTTACAAAAATTAGCCTGAAAAATATATTGCTTAACTATCAGAAATGCTTAGAAGTATTCTGGTCTGAGATTGCACTGGAACAGGCTTATTTCATCCGGAATATTGTGTCCAAAGTACTTTAAATCATTTCTGATGAACAACATTTTATTTTGGAAAATATGATCTGCCTTCAGAATAACATAATATGGAAGAATTTCAGCAGAGTCCATAGAAAAAGGGAGCATTCTGGAGTTCTCTGGAACAATCTGGTCACATGTGAAGAAATTTTCTTCAGATAGTTGTAAATGTTATAACTGAAATATATTCTGCTCCACATGCACTGATTCTGGTGTATCAATTTCATCATTATCTCTACAGAAAAAAAGTATCTTTTAAAATTCTGAAATACTTACCTTTGAAAGNTGTTGGGGGCAATATGCTGACTCTGTAAACCGCTTAGAGAGGGCTGAAAGCCCTATGAAGCGGTATATAAGTCTAACTGCTATTGCTATTGTATTCAAAGATGAATTCTACAGAAGCTATTTTGTCATGTTATATTGCTTGGGGAAGAGTTACATTATAAGCAACTATTAATACACAGAAACTCATACAACTCCAAACAATGTAAAATTGAACTGGAATAAATTCTTACCTTTTAGCAAATTGAAGCTGTGTTGACTTGTTAAAGAAAACTGGATATACAGAATTATATTTGCTACATATGCTAGAGCCGGGAAGGTGGGGGGAAATAAACCCACTCAAAAGAGAACAGGTTTCTTGAAAGTATGAATCCATAATGAGAAACTTGGGGTGCTGCCTGAATTAAGAAATGAAAATTGTTAAAGGGTGTTAAAATCTTAAAGGTACCTTTGAAATGGGAGAGAAAAACTGAAGGAGATCAAATCCTATGACAGTGTAGAATCAATTAAGGATCACGACTGTTAGAAGCCAAAGGAAGGAATTCAAAGTTGACTGGTTCAACATTTCTTTATAAAATCCTGAAATCCCTTTAGGGATGTTTGCCAACATCCAGATATCTATTACTGATTCGTGGATTTATGAATGGATAAGGGATGGGTTATTTCCCTTAATACCTGCTTTTTTTTTACTAGCAGAGATGCATTTTAAATTTGGTAGAAACATATCAGCATTCAATGTTTTTTTTAAAAAAATATCTTGAAGTCATCAGTTAGCTTCATGACTGAAGAGTCAGAACAGTATAATAATTGGCGACTCTTACTTTATGGATGCTTTGTAACCCCCCCCCCCACACACACACAAAAACCACACAATCTCATTGTCATGGAAACAAGGCAGATGCTTTCTACTAAAGTTGTTGCGGCTGTTGCTCCCTATCTAGCTGCTAATGCCTGATGCAACTCTGGGTAATCAAAGCCCAGGCAGATTACACCAGCAAGATTTCAGAAGTCAGAATGAATAAAATATACAGTATATGCACTTCAGCATTTCATCAAAACACTGCTCCTCACTTGTTAGAAGCTTCCGATGCCGCTGTTGAAAAATGCTACAATTTAAATTCCCAACAACAAAGCAAGACATTGCAGGTTTCATTTTTAATGCAGAAAAAGGATATCATTGCACTTTTGTTGGTATTCTGCAAGTAGGTGGCTATAAAAAAAAAAGGGCAGGAGAAGGATTAGGTGACAAACAACACACATGACAAACAAACAAGACAGATTGCTGACTGGCAAAGGGGAAAAAATAACTCAAGAGACCAAAATCTGAACAGCATTATCTTGAATATCATTGTCTGGTAGTTGCAGAAAATGGTCTCTTATGTTTAGAAAAAGAAAAGGGAAGGCATTCTTTTCCTTTTGAGCAAATATAAGATATGCTTGAGATCTGATTCCTCACAGCAGACATTTTTGTTTTATAAACCTATCCCCAAAAATGGAGATGTGGATCTATTTCACCCTGATGACTAAACTGCTTCCAAGTAAGTATATCAAGGACTGTAAATAGTAGAGGGGGGAGTCACACAATTGTGGGGGAACTGCTCCCCATGTGCTTAAGTGAGCACATACTCTGTCTGTTTGCCTGCCTGTCTCGTGACCCGTCAAAACCGCAGAGGACAAAATCGCGCTCGACGAAAGCACGCATTTGACGTCATCACAGNAAGCCCTATGAAGCGGTATATAAGTCTAACTGCTATTGCTATTGCTCAAGCACTGATAGCTATGGGGACATGTATGGCTTGCTCAAAGAGTATCTTGACATAATTCCACATTCGTAAGGGAGGGTGGCCCTGTTGTCTGACTGTTTATCTCTGCTTTTCTCTTTCAGAGAAAGATACACAGAGGAGCAGATTACAATGCTATCAGACACAGATACACAATGTTGGCGCACAATAAAAGACTGACAGCAAATACATAGAAAGAATAAAACACAAAGGTGAGTAGGTTGCAGAGAAAGAAGGGAAGACAGAAGAAGGGCAGACATAGGCAACCCCCCCTCCCCGGATAAACAAATGTACAAGTGAATAGGAAGCATTTCAGTCTTTCAGTTTAAGCTGTGTGTGAGTTAGGAAGCTATTTAGGTTTTTTAAATTAATAATAAATAAATTTGTAAATTACTTACTTATCTTTTTACGTGTTTCTGAAGGAGCAGGAAATCCAGCAATTAGAGAGAGAAAAGGGGGGGGGGAGAGAGCATGAATGTTACTTACTTTTATTAAAATATGAGAAGGTTTTTTTTAAAAAAATATTTTAAATTTCCTTTAAAGCACTGATACTTGATCTCACCTACTGCCTGTTCACGTTTGTTGATCTGCTTTTTTCCTGTAGAGTTTTCAATACATTGCCAGAGTTCTTCCAACAGAAATTTAATTTTTTCTGTAAAAGAAATCCACATCATTATGTTTACATTTAGTTTGATGTGCTGGGACATGGCATATATGCAATTAAAGACGCTGCTGAAAAGAAAAATTCAGGTGGATACTTGTGCTGTATCTCTAAACAAAAACATGAAGCCTATCGTCACAATGTTAAGATATACAGTACATACACCAAACAAGGGGCATATGTGTAGAATGTACACAATTCAGAAAGCTATTTTTTAGCAAAGTTTGAAGAAAAATGTGTTGGTCATTCTAAAGTATAACACATTAACAAAAAGAACGGAAAATCACAGATATCCTGGACCCCGCTGAGTTCTTTCTACTGAACTGTCTTTCATATATAATTGATGGAGATATAAAAAATCATTGTCACAAATAAAATATTGTTTTTCTTTTATACAGTTCAATTAGCAAAAAGATATTTCCAGGAGCATCATGGAACACAGATCTATGTTTACAGAATACATAATTAGGGATCCTAGATAGTCCAAAATAGATATCAAAAGAAATATTTAAACACAAAACGGAATCAGAATTCAACTATACATATGTATATAAATATATATTCCTGTATATATTTTGATTTTATCTATTGTATTTTTCGGAGTATAAGATGCACCTTTTCCCCTCAGGCTGAAAATCTGGGTGCGTCTTATACACTGAATACAGCATTTTTTGCCTCCCCAAACCCCAAAATGGGCCCATTTTTGCTTGTTTTTGCCCCCCCCCCTCCCTGGAGCACTCTATGAGCCTCCTAAAGGTTATTCATGGCCTTTTTTGGAAAGAAAACAGGCCCATTTTTGTGAAAAACGGGCCATTTTTGGGAGGTTTGCCAAGTGCAAAAACTTTTTTTAAAAATTTGCCTCTTCAAAACCTTGGTGCATTTTATACTCCGGTGCGACTTATACTCCGAAAAATACAATAAGTGTTAAGTCATAAGGTTCTTTTTCCTTCTCTACAAGTCTCCTGGGTTTTGCACCTCCTTGGAGAATTCAGGCCATTGGTATGATAAACAATACCAAGAAGTCAAGCACGTCAATTTAAATTGCATCATTTCCTTGTAATTCCGGCTAGTCCCTTCATTAACTAAATAATGAATCCAGAAATGAAATAAAATATAATTTTAACCTGATCTTTTTTTCTTAGCATTCAAATTACTTTGTTCTATACTTCCTGCATATAAAAAATACATAATTTAAACCATATCACCTGGGATAAGGGGAAAAAAAGATCACTTTTAAGTTGACCAAGCAGGAAAGAATTTGAAAAAAAACCTTTTCCTTCATTTCCCCCCTCAGATGTTATCATGTGCATAAAATATACTTGTCTTGGTAGATGAGCTGGGAGAATGTTTTGAAAAACTACCAGATTTTACGTGTTTGCTTTCAAGGGAAATGATTTGTACTTATAAATGGTAAATGTATCCTTAAATAGTTTTAATTAATTCTATAGCGTGCGGCGTCTCGCATTTTTTTATTGTGTTAAATTCAAACAGAGAAGATTCAGCCTAGAGATGTCCAACCTTCACATTGTCACCTGTTAATAATCTCAAATAAACGATTTTGTGGGCAAAGTTGATAGGACCAATGATTTCATTCCTAAAATACCAAATAATTTCTATCTGTCACTTCCTTACATTCTTCCTTCCCAAATTTCTCCACTAGCTTCATAACCAATCTCAGAAAGTTGCTCTTTTGTCATGCTTGTTACTTACTGTCTCTTCCAGTTTTCTACCATCACACTGGGGTAAAATGGGGTAAAGTACCGAGTCCTCTTCTATAGCAATAGCAGTTAGACTTATATACCGCTTCATAGG